GTCGTGATTAGTTATCTAAAATCGAATCTATGAATTAGCTTGAAAATAGCCATACAATGCAAACAAATATACAGTCGCGGATCAATTGGTTTAATCCAAACACGATTAAACCCAAAACAACACAATAAAAGCAAAACTCACTCATCTTTTTTGTCTTCTACATGTAAAAAAATAGATTCCTGTTTTCCTGGAGTATGACAAAAGATCTTCATCGTTAATTTAGCACACATGATCAATCATCGAAGCCAATGCCTAAAATCACTAGTAGAAGCTGGAGATATCTCAACACCAATAGACTCAGTGCAACACGAAGAGTAATTCGATTGTTGTTCCAACAATCCACCTATATGTGAACCAGCCACACTCTTAAAGCTTGGACTCCTCAAGCTATTATTGTCCTCGTTCTCCGGTGGTGGCGGGACCGGAAATGAGAGCCGTTTCTTAACCGAACCCGCACGATCCCTGTCGGGAGTCGAAGGTCGTTGCCTCGGTGCGCTGTGGGACCGGATCCTCGCCTTAGCCGACTCCGTATTTGCCATGTAATTAGGCAACAATGTTGCGTTATTGATCATAGTGGTACTAATGCTACATCCACTTCTAGCTGTGAAACTGTAATTAGATCTCAAGCTAGGTGTGTTTGACGTGTAACTATAAGATGCTCGGTCCCTGTCGTCCCTCGGGTCTCTCTGGCACCGCGGACTAGCTGACCGGACATGGATTGGTCTAGACTTAGCCGGAGATGGAGTGGCTGAGAAATTATTGCGGGATTGGTAATGGTGGCTAGGTCTTGATGGGGAGTTAGGCCTTTGACTACGGCACGGGCTTCCGGTTCTTGTTCTTGAGTAAGGTTGAGAAGTGTCAATTTCCACCGTTTTAACCGGAACACTTTGGTCAACTGAAGCTCTACTACTAGCTCGTTTATCCCATGGTCTAGTAGCCATCCACCGGTCAAGCCATTTTGGTCTTTCTTCCTCGAGTTCTGCCTCTCCCGCGGATTGGTTACCGACCGTTCTCCACATCTTTTCATTAAAACGAAAAGGTCTTATCAGTAAGCTCAAGATAAATATACAAGAAGCATTTTTGGCTGGTTTAAGTTATTTTTACCTGCTGAGAGAAATTAGTCTTCTCATGTCTCAATGCTGTGTCCCTTCTCCGTTGCAGCATCGCTTTCACTTCGTCTATCGTGTGTGGTCGATCATCCCAATCTTCCGCGAGGCTGCTTCCTTCTCTTGACTATAACAAATACATAACCAAAAGATATTACAAAATTGTCTCAGATTACTAGGAAAGCCTATACAACCTTTAATGTAACATCATTCGAGTTTTCTTAACTGACCATTGATTGTCGGTCTGAAACGTCTTGAAGGTAACGAGATTCAAAACCACTGTGGGAATCGCTGAATGCGGATTTGCGACTACCATCATGAGACAAGCGTTTGCGTTGGTCAAGCACACGAGACTGGACTCGAACCAGAGCTTGCATACACCTTAAAGTCATCTTAGCTTGCTTTCTCACATTATGACCTCTTACTAATGCTTGTAGCTTCACTAATCCTTTTAATGCTCTTAATGCTCTTCTTGCCTTATCCATATCATTTGCAAAACACATAAACACCAAATTAGAAAGAAATAAAAACTACATCAAACCTCAATCTTATACTGTCAAATTCTGTGTAACCAATGTTAATTTTCTCTAACACATCATTATCACTATAAAGTGATATAGGAACTAAAGAATGTTAAACTTTATACAACACATCGTTATCTAACTAAACATTGTTAATTTCATTTAAGACATCATTATCATTGGTTGGTTAGATAAATAATTAAAGAAAAACCATTAGCTTAATTAATTTGCTTACCAAATATCCTCTGAAACAAGTTTGGATAACAACAGCAGCGTAATTCTCTCTCGCGTAGTAAACCCGCCTCGTGACTTTCGGTAAGACCGTCGGAGATGCTGACGTGGCGGCGGCGACGGATGTTTTTCCGGCGTTGGATTGCGTCGTTGTTGTGTTAGTCTCAGGGGAAGTTTTCGAGTTTGCGTTATCTGATTCTTGCGGCGGTGGTGTCGGAGTGACACCGGAAGGCTTCACCGGAGATTCATGAGTCGCCGGTTTTCTGAATAACCACCGTCTCTTCTCTCTCTTCTGCTAAAAAAACAGAGTAAAAAACGAATTGGAACAAAAAAAAATCCCAACTTTTATCCAAAACAGAGTAATTTATCAAGATCTAGAAATAACAAACCTTTTCCTCATCTTCTTCGATTTCAGTACCGTGAGGATTGTTATGTTCTTTCTTAGTCGGAGATCGGAAAGCTCGCTTCACGGCGGTAAGCCAAGAAGAACCGTTCTTTTTCCCCATGTGTCTTCAACACAAGATTATTACCACCAATGTCTTCGTGTTTCGGTGTTCTTGTCCTGTTTCTGGTAAAAGAAGAAGAGATTTGGCTTTAGATTTTTACAGAAATAAG